TAATTATATGTTCTTGTGTATTTAGAACTTTACACTAATTTGTTTTGTCTTCTTTCTTCCTTTTTTTTTTTTTTTTTTTTTTTTTTTTTTTTTTTTTTTTTTCCTTTTTTTTTTTTTTTTTTGTTTTGTCTTATTTCATTTCATCCCATTTTAGTCCTGGGGATTGAACCCAAGGATGTCACAATGAGTTATCCTCCCATACCCCATTTCATTTTTTATGTTGAGACAGGGTCTCACAAAATTGCTAAGTTGTCCAGGCTGGACCCAAACTAGCGATCTTTCTGCTCAGTCTCCCAGAGTTGTAGGTGTATACCACCATACCCAGCTGAAGTCAGGTCTTATTATTTAAAAATCTAAAGCTAACAGGACAATAGTGTGGGGTCTCTTTTTAAAATTAAAATATGTAGGCTTCCATTGCCCCATGAGGACTGTTCTGAGCTTTTCTCAGGAGATGTAGATCTTGGGGGTGCAGAAGAGTCAGCTTTGGCCCAGGATTAGGAGCCAAGAGAGTGGGGGAGATGCTCGACCTCTGTACCCCAGGTTCCTTCTGAAACACCCCCAGCGGGCCTGCTTTCCAGAACCTACCTCGGTACAAAGCATTGCTTTTTTACCATGATGCCACTGTAGCCCACTGCACAGCTCTGAGTGTCCACTCTGCCTATTGTTATTTAGAGCTGGACTGGATATCCATCCCTCATGACCCCTGATGGAAGGGACAGGGATTTTAGGGATCCAGACATACTCAGCAAATGAGGATTTCTTAGCCGGGGCTCAGAGCAGCAGGTTGGTGCTGTGCTGGTGTCTGGGGGGAAGCTGGCGCCTGAGCACGCACTGTGGTTGGGCCTGTTTAGAGTCGGGACCTGACTGTCGCTGTGGTCCACTTTGTCACAGCTATGTTTGACCGGGAGAACAAAGCTGGTGTGAACTTCAGCGAGTTCACGGGCGTGTGGAAGTACATCACAGACTGGCAGAACGTCTTCCGCACCTACGACAGGGACAACTCGGGGATGATTGACAAGAACGAGCTCAAGCAAGCACTCTCAGGTTTTGGTAATTCACTTGTCTCGATTGTGTGGTCTGTTTCATTTTGGAACCCAGGGGCCCGTGCGGGGTTTTTACTTTGTTAAACTTACTGACTTAACCCAGCCATATGAATTTCTGTTTGCATTGTACAGGTTCACATTTCCTATTTATGTCGTACAGGCCTATGTTTGACATGGAATCTTTTATGCAGCTTTTCATCAAAATGAGATAAGGGCTGTGCAAATCATCTGTCCACTTTTGTGAAGTGTGTTGGTGTCACGAACAAAATTGAGAATGTGGCTTTTAAAATAACTTAAAGTAGATAAATAAAAAATGGTGTGGAGCAGCTTCTGTTGCACAGTACACCAAAATACATGGAAACCATAATAAAATGACTAAGAAACAATCCTGTAAGTTACCAGGTATAGCTCTCAGTCCATCCAAATTGTACTCTTCCGGAGTTGGAGGACGCGCACAAGCCCATTCTCAAGTGCATCCCGCTTTGAGCTTGGCGTGTGTGTATGTATGGACACTGCCGTCAGGCTCAGGTGTGGGGCGGTGTGCTGTGGTTCTCACAGGTGTTCGTGGTCCGTGTCCAGAGCGCAGCCAAGGCTGTCAGAACTGGTCTTGGGTCTGAGAGAAAGCTGAGATTTGGGTGGTAGGGGGAGTACAGGAATTGAACTCAGGGCCTCATCCATGTTAGGCAAGCACTGTAGCACTGAACTAACTCTACCCCCAGCCCTTTTTGTTCTTTATTTTGAGACACGATCTTTCTGACTGGCCTCGAACCTGCTGTCTTCTTCCCTTAGTCTCCTAGGTAGCTGGGAGTACAGGCTTGAGCCACCTCTCCTGATGTTGGTGTTTTTATTTACAAAGTAAACCCCAGAATGTTTGGAACCAGCCCAGGCCTTGTTATAGTTGCACTGAGATTTTGGTCTGTTTGGGATAATTTCACTCGGTGCTTTGTTCATCTGGCTGTATTACCAAAACCTGTGTTTTACTTTAAAAATTGCTTATAAATGCCTTTTAGAAAATTGGTCATGATCTAACATATATGGCTTGTTTGAGTCCTATGACCGTAAAGTATATCACTTACTGTGGCTGCCATCGCAGCTCCTGCACTTCTCCCCGCCTCTCTAGCGCGTACCTTGTGGCTGTCTGCTCTCTCTCCCTTCTCGCCTATGAGTTTGTCCATATGGCGGGTTAGAGGCAGAGTCTCCCCTGGAAGTTGTGTTCAGACCTCACTAGTTTTGAGCCAGGATTTAGACAGGATAACTCCAAATTGGAACTTGGGATGCAGATGACTTTGATGTCTTAAGGGGGGTGGTCCTGGTAGGGGCCCCAGCTGCCCTCTGTCTCTGGGGATAGTGATGAGAATGGCCTGCATGGAGAGTGGCCCAGGGTCCATAGAGGCCCCCTGGTCCTGGACAGGACTGAGCAGGGAACAAGGAGGGCTCAGTGCTACCTAGTGGGGCAAGAGCCACTTGGACCTGGGGATGAGCCTGGCATGTGAGTGTCATGGAGCTCAGCCTGCTCTAGGCCAGAGGCCTTGGAGCTCTTTTCAAGGTCCTGGGAACTGGGGGAGAAGACAGTGTTGGCCTCCCAGGCCCTCTGCATCCTGAGCAGATCAGGAACATCCCAGAAGTCTTCATGCATGTGGCTGGGGTGGGAAGTGTAGCTGGTCAGAAGCCAGCAGGGCAGTGCCAGCCTCTTCCAGAACCTTTTCTGAAGGAATAGCACTATGCAGAACTTTCATAGTGTTTCTACTCAGTTTCTTCCTGTTGTGGTCCCCGATTTCCCAGGGTTGTCTCTTTTTATCTTCCATGGAAAGGAATGTAATCTTTCTACTTGGATATTACTTGGGAAAGCTTTTGGTGGTAACTGTTAGTGAGTTGGCTTTAGAAGCAAATATCCCTTTTCTTTTTTGACTCTTGAAAACAGGTGTATTGTGTGGTAACTACGGGCACTCAGTAGTGGCCAAGGGACCTGCCGTGGATATCTCAGGCCAGTCCTGGTAGCACTGTGTGACTCATGGTGCCTGCCGAGGTCTGATGATCCCTCCACACACTCAAACTGTGTTAACACCTATGGCCAGGTCCTCAGACTCAGGTGGGCACAAGTACTTCCCCCAGAAATTTGTTGGTTCACCCACAGCAGTGTGGTCAGGAGACAGCAGCCCTTACCCCCAAAGCCCCTGCTCCCCCTGACTTTTCCCTTCTTCACCCAGCCTTTCTGGCAGCTTCTGCAGTTGCCTTTTTTTTTTTTTGGTACCGGGGATCGAACTCGGGACCTTGCACTTTTGAGGCAGGTGGCGGAACCACTGAGCTAAACCCCTGGCCTTGCAGTTTCCTTTTCTAATGGTGAAAACATTGTGGAAGCACAGTGAAACCACTTCAGCCGTTGCCTGTCTCTCTGCTGCATTTGTGTCCCCTTTTCGGCTGCATATTTTGGAACAGGTCCAAGGCCTGTGCTGCCCCATGCCCTCATTCTGTAACTGTAGTGTCCTGGAATTCCAGTTCGGAGTCATCCTGTCCAAATCCTGGCCCAAAACTAGTGAGGTCTGAACACAACTTCCGGGGGAGACTCAGTGCCTCTAACCAGCTGTATGGACAAACTCACAGGTGAGAAAGGACAGAGAGCAGACAGCTGCAAGGTATGCACTAGAGAGGTGGGGAGAAGTGCAGGAGCTGCGATGGCAGCCACGAGAGTTCTGGATGTACACCTGTTCATGAGATTGTGCTGTGCACTCACCTTACAAGGTTGACAGCAGTTTCCCGAGTGTTCTGATTTAGGCTCAAGCAAAGCTTAGGTGCAGGCCCCTCCCCTGTCATGCCATAGGCTGGCTGGAGGCGCAGTTTGGTGCAATGTGGATCCTTTTCAGTCACTCATTTCAGTCTGGCTTTTCTTAGGCAGTGCTGTGACTTCCAGCTGTGCTGCTCCTGAGGCTGCTGCTGGTGGTGGTGGTGGTGGTGGTGGTGGGCGTGGGCCAGAGGCTTGGCCTCCTGTTGACCCCTCAGCCCGCCAGCCATGCGGCCTGGGCCTGGAGTGTCTGCAGGGCAGTTTTCTGGTGGTATCATCCCGCCTGTTGGTTTGAGGGGAGAGGACTCTTCAGCATCAGTGAGTGCTGTGTGGTTCCTGGAAGTGGACATAGGAGAATGTGTTCCTCTGCACTCAGGCTGTCATCACCTCGGGGGGCTCTGGCAGAGCATACTTCGCAGCAGCAGGGAAGGGCAAGGGGTGTCCCCATCCCCTCACCCTGTTCATGCACAGGCGCAGGGGTCTGAGACTCACCTCATGGACCCGTGGGCTGGCCGCTGTCCGAGGGCTGGGCCCGATGGCTCATCTTGGTGGGTAGTGCAGCTCCAGGGGAGGAGGAATAGATGGTTTCTGTGGAGGGCGAGGTGCTGCCTGGCTCAGCAGCTGTATTTCTAAATCAGAGCGTTGGTCTGAGACAGAAGGTGGGAAAGCCTCACCTCCACCTCCAGGGAGGTTGGTGCCACCTGCAGTCAGCACACCAGCCCTGGGTGGCCTGGGCGGCCTGGGCCTGGGGGGTTCACTGGCTGGCCTGCATGCAGAGCACCTGTGGTGCTGAGGGTGTACTCTTAGGTGGCCTTTCCCTGCAAGAACGTTTTGAAAGAACCTGTCCCAGGTTTTGGCCTCTCAAATGAGCATGCGTCTTTAATGGCTTGCTTGTTTGTCATTCGCTTTACTACCCCGACCTTCGTTCTTTCTTTCCTATGACGGGAAAATTGGAAGTTAGATAGATAAAGGAGGAGGGGAGTTGCTTCCATATCTGTCAGACTGGATCCTCTGTCTTTTCCCATGTCCTCTGCCCCTGCCCTGTTCTGGCAGGAGACCGCACTGGCTGTCTGTGTCTGTTCCACACCTGCACAGGCAGCACCCTGTGACCATGTCCCAGGCTCTGTCTTCATTGAGCTCGGCTCAGTCAGGGTTGCTGCCTGACCTGCGAGCCACGTGCCTGGTGTTGGGAGGTGTGGCAGCCATTCCCACCTGCTGCTGCTTCGAACTTCAATGGGAGTCCTATGTTCTGCTCAGCCTACAGGGAAGGGTCAGGTACTGCCCGCCTTCTCTTGTTTAGGGGCCCCTGAACTGAGCAGTCAGCTCACTGGCTGCTCTGCAAGGTGCTATGAGCATGTTGGCATATTTGAGTCTTTATCAGTAAAATGCTTAAGTGTTTTTACAGGTAATTAACTGTACGATTCACTCAGGCAGTAAGTGTGCATGTCCTTGCAAAGAGGCCCGAAAGACTGAAAACCAGTAAAAGCCTGTTGGCACCTGGATCTTGTCTCCTGAGTCAGTAAGGACACCACATTCACACAGGTAGTAGGTGGCTCCTGAGGGACAGCAGGCCAGGTGCAGCCTCCTTCAGTGTGTCTTCAGGAATGTCTGGACACACAGGGTAGGTCCACAAGTCTTCAAAGCCACCTCCCTGTTGGAGACCTTTCCTAAACGTGCTCAGCAAATTGAAATGGAGTCATATGCCTAAGGACCCAGTGGTGATTCTGAGCTGCCTATCCCCTCAGTGCCATCAGATGCACTGACTGTGTGGGGGTCCCCATGGGTTAATCTCTTTGCTCGGCTCAGGATCTGTTTAACTGGAGCCTTCTGTGATACTTTAGTTTTCAAAGCATTCTTTGGTAATGAGTGGCCCAAGCGGTGAGTCATTTAGAGCTTTGGTGTCAAGGTGGCTGCCCTGGGGTCAGGCACCAGGCCTGGCTGCCTTGGAGGCCACTTCTGTGTGCACAGCATGGAGTGAGTGCAGTTGACTAACAAGCAGTGGGCTCACAGCAAACGACAGGACAGTGGTGTTTCGTCCTTGCAGGGGTTGGTACTGGTCTCCGAGTAGGTCATGTCATAGTACTGGAAATGTAAATTGATTTCAGACTGATTTAGGCCACTCTTGGTTTTCAGAGTGCATTTGAACAAATTTGCACTTTTACTCCTACCCAGCTGTCGTTTGCTGTTAGGCTGTGGGGTCTTGGGAGGGAGAGCTGGGGCAGTCAGGCACCTCCTGGCTCTCTTGACTCTGATCTTTCCTCTCCAAGGCTACCGGCTCTCTGACCAGTTCCACGACATCCTCATCCGCAAGTTTGACAGACAAGGACGAGGGCAGATTGCCTTTGACGACTTCATCCAGGGCTGCATCGTCTTGCAGGTGACAGTGGCGTCCTGTGGGTTTGCTGTGGCCATGGAGGCTGGGTGGGGCAGGAAGGGGTGGCCATCATAGTGGGCACCTGGCCTTTTTATCAGTGGATCAGGCTCATGTAGAGTAGGGTTTTAGAGGCTATAAGAGTTAGTCTCAGGGCCAGGGATTTAGCTCAGTGGTTCTGCCACCTGCCTCACAAGCGCAAGGTCCCAAGTTCGATCCCCGGTACCAAAAAAAAAAGAGTCAAGCCAGATGTGGTGGCCCCTGCCTGTAATCCCAGCACTTGGGAGGCTGAGGCAGGGGGGATCACAACGAGTTCAAGGCCAGCGTAAACTACGTAGTGAGACCCTATCTCACAAAAACCAAAAACAGGGCCTGGGATTTAGCTCAGTGGTTCCGCAAGCGAAAGGCCTCAAGTTTGGTCCCCGGTACCAAAACAAAACAAAATTTTAAAAAGCGTCTCATCTTTGGAGAAGTAACTAGTTCTGTTAAATGAAGTACAAACAGTAGTGTCATCTCTACTCTTGAAAATCAGTCATGAGCCACATGATGACATTTTAGTAGGTGTCCCAAAAGATGACAGTCAGCTGGAAAGGTCCTGTCTTGGTGACGTTGGTGCCATCATGACGTCGTTGCACCAGGCATTACATGTTACAGTGATGCTGGTTAAACCTTCGCTGCCAGTGGTAGGAAGAATCTGGTGTGCAGTATGTCATTTTTGATGACATTAACTTCAGCACTGGCTTTTGTATTTGCTGTCCTGTTCTTTTTGTTTTTATAACGCCTTCTACTTACTAAAAAAGTTCACTGTTTTCAGAATGCCAGCAGCCTCATGCATCTGTGTTACTGCATTTTGTGATTGCTCAGGTTCGTGCAAGCACAGTCTAGGACAGTAATGGCAGACCCTTTGGAGACTGAGTGCCCAAACTGCAACCCAAAGCCCACTTATCTATCTCAGATTACCAGCACCGCAATTAAATCTGAATACTGATTGGCCCAGTGAAACCTCCCAGGAGTTGCGGCTAATGAGTCACCCCTGGTGATGTCATTTCCTGGCGCCACTGCTCCTTTCTGAATCTGCACAATGTCCCTTTGTGAGCTGTTACCTGATCCTAGGCTGTTGGGGCGATGCTAGAGTGATTTGGCTCACGTGCCCACAGAGAGGGGTCTGTGTGCCCGCTGCGGCACACATGCCATTGGTTTGCTGCCAGTGCTCTAGGACGTTCAAAGGACCACGCGGCCCTCAGGACGTCCCAGCTAGGAGTAATATGCGGCTCCCACAGCACAGTCGCCTGGCTCCACGCAGGCCCTGCTGTGTTTCTAGGTAGAGGTCCAGGTTCTGTAGGTTTAAGCTTTGGAAACATGGTGGATTGATAAGTCTTATGTATCTTAAATTTTTTACTATGAAAATTTTCAAGAACAGCAGAGAGAGCAGGTTAATGTTCACATTCATCAGTGTGAGCTCAGGTCAGTTATTTATGCCCTTCATAACTGCATACCACTCCATCACCCGAAGCAGACTCTTTCATGGGACGCAAACGTGTTCCCCACAAATGGTTCAGTAGAACCTGTCTTTAAAAGGTAAATCTTTATAATTTGTACCCAGGCTGAAGTCACACTTTATTGGCTTTGGAATCTTTGAGAGATGTGGACAGCATTAGATTTTTACATGTAGTGAAGGGTTTTAGATAATATTCTCAGATTGATTTTCCAGTTAAATGATAGATCAGTAAAAGTCTACATTTTCTGATTGGCCTGCTAAGTACTGTACAGTGCTCCGTGATTTTCCTTTTTTTTTTTGGTACCAGGGATCGAACTCAGGTCCTTGCACTTGCGCAGCAGGTGGCGAAACCACTGAGCTAAATCCCTGGCCCCTCCGTGATTTTCTTAACCACTTTACAAGATAACCAAAAATTGCGATTTTTTCATTAATTTTTATAATACAACAGGAAATATAAAAGTGACAGTTTTAACAGATTTATTCAGTAATTTTTTTGTGTTTGGTAGATCTTAAAACATTCAATACATGATGCAACGTTATAATCTGGACAGTGGTATCTAATCTCTCCCCGAATCCTTTCTGCATTATCGTCTTTCTTTGAACAACACACTACACTGTTGTGTTGGCCTTTCCTTTTTTTCTGTGAGTAAGTGGTATGATTTCAATAAAATGTCTACCCATTAAACATAATCGTGAAGGGCGGGGATTTAGCTCAGTGGTTCCACCGCCTGCCTTGCAAGCGCAAGGACCAGAGTTAGATCCCCAGTACCAAAAAAACCCCATAATCATGAAGACAGTAATGATGGACATCCTGGTTGGTGTTTTGCTGTCCTGAATTTTTCAATTGTTTGGTCTGTTAGACCCAATCTAAATTGTAAATGACTTTTTGAACCCCCTGGTTTTGAATAAATAACAAATGGGCCCATTTGGAGTTCACCACTCGCCACAGATTGTCTCAGGTACTGGAAGTGGAACTGTGGGACTTAATGTTTGCCCTACTGGATTTTGGACTTAACTTTGGGCCCATTCCTTTGTATCCTCTTATTTGTACCTTTGGGAAATGGTCACGTCTATCTTGTGCCATTGAATGTTGGAAGTGTTTGACTTTTTTTTCATTTGTACAAGGGCTTGCAGCCAAGGGTTTGCCTTAAATCTCAGAGGAGACTTTGCACTTGGACTTTTCAGCAATGCTGAAACTGTTGGGACTTTAGCAACTCTCTTAGAGACAGACTAAATGCTTTTTCCATAAAGGGACATGCATGAGTCTTTGGAGGCCAGGGGCAGAATGTTATGGTTTGTGTTTAGATGTGGTCCCCAAAGCCTCACGTGGATGAGGTAGATCTTTTGCAGAGGTAGTCGAAGCTGGAATGTGTGATGCTGGGGTTAAGGCAGTGTGAGTGATTAGTTTGGCACCACCCTAATCCGGGTAGTGTGAATAAGGTAAAAGGGGCAGAAAGATGCTGCTAAACTCTCTCCCTTGTTCCTGTTGCTACTGTGTGGGCTCCATGAGCTGCACCTCCTGTTACCTTTGCTACCTTGTGTGCGCCATGTTGTTTCTCCTCTGGGATGCCCGTCTGCCACCCAGCCTGCTTTGGAGCCAGCCGATTATGGACTGAAGCCTCTATGAACTGTAGGCCAAATAAACCTCTTTCCCTCAAAAGGAACCAAAAAACAAAAAACAAATGGGTTCCATATTGTTTGGTGCAGAAGGTATGTAAGTGTTTTATAGTAATATATTTTTCCTTGCTTTTTGATTACAGGATAGTTTTTAGATGATGGTCATTTCTGTCAACACCAACCATAGAATTATTATAATCATTGATCGTTATTGGAATTTTTTTAGTTTTGTTTCCTCTTTGAAGTTCTGTCATTTCTGTATTATGAATAGTTGACAATTAGGAGACATCTTTTTTTGTCTTTCCATTTAATAACACAGACTTTTCCTCTCCGATATGCTGACATTTGTCCTTTTTTTCAGTTTTTCCTTTTGCTGATCTTCTGGCACTTCCTTCCTGTTCAGTCTCAGTGTCCCAAACATGTCTGTTTTGTATTGTAAAAGAAAATCACTGAGTTCTGGAGAAGTATAGAAATTATATCTAAAAGCTGGGCCTGGTGACACAACCCTGTAATCGCAGCAGTCAGAAGGCAGAGGCAGGAAGATCACCAAGAATTCAAGACCAGCCTGGGCTACATAGTGAGTTTAGGGCCAGCCTGAACTGCAAAGTGAGACCCTATTTCCCCCCCAAAAAAACCACCCAAAAATTACATCGATAGGAGTTTTTATAGATTATAGCAGAAAATTATAGGTTATTTTTCACAAATAAAATAAGCACAAATTAGTAAAAGAAAATAACCAGAACTTATTCTTAGATTTTACTAGAAACGAACATCAAAGGCAAATACAACATTGTAAATAAAAAAGTATGCAAAGTATAGTCAACATAAAACAAGTAAACAGACATATGAGTGTATGCCGGTCAAAGACAATCGACTGTTTGAAATGACACCTGCCCGAGTGACACTCAGGATAAACTTAAGTAGATAAAAATGAATCTGGACCCATCAGCCCCTGTTCTTCACTGACTGTGGAGGACAGGTCTGTAGCATTCACGCTTCAAACCTCAGGAGTAGGGAGAGCCCGGTCCTGTCCCTGCTGCCGAGTTCTCTGACGTTGGGCTTCTCTGAATACTTCAGAGAGAGGCGCAGTGTGAAATCGCGTTATGGACTGTGCCTGACTTGCTGTAGAGTTAGAGTTCATGCGTCCCGTAAGTGAACTTCGGGTCCCTACATTTCCTCCTAAGTGAAGGTTTCTCCTGTGGACCCCGCAGTTGAGTCCCGAGGGGGCTCCCCAATCTGCCAGGCCGGTGCTGTGCAGCATCCTGTGGACTGGGCCTGACAGCCTAAAAATGTTTTTCTTTTTAGCTTTTTTCCAAAAAGGAAAAGGCTTTGTCAAAATTATTTGTTATAAAATGACATGGAAACTTTGAGAAATCTTGGGCAAAAAGGGAGTAAAACCCTAAAAGAACGTACTCTTCATTCTTTGTCTTGGTTTGCGGTGCTGGGGATGGAACCTGCAGCCTTGTGTGTGCCAGGTGAGAACTCAGCCCCAGCCCCCACGTTTGTTAGTCTTTAAGCTGGAGTTCCTGCCACTATTGTTCTTTCATACATTCCTGTGTCACAAAGTGAGGGGCACATTCTTAGGGGTAAGTCACTTGGTGGGGACCTGGTGGGACATGCCTGCGTGCTGCATCTGGAGGCCAGAGGCTGCCGCACCTTGGCTCAGTTGTGTAGCCAGTGTTGCTCAGCTTTCTGTTCCTGTAAAAATGTTGGAGATAAATCAGCCTAAGAGGAAAGGCTTCTTTTGGCCCATAATTTTGGAAGCTTTGGTCCATGGCTGGTTGACCTGCTGCTTTGGCCCTGTGACCAGGCAACATATCATGGCAGGAATGTGTGGCAGATGAGGCCTGTTCACTTAAGGGTGACAGGGCCCAGTATCCCTGTGGCCCTGCTTGTTCCCACTGGCCTCACCCCCTGAAGGTTCCACCACCTCCCGTATCTCCCCGGCCTTCAACACATGAGCTTGGGGGAACATTAAGGTCCAGATCGTAGCAGCCACCTCTTTTGTATGTGGTTCACTATCGACCAAAATGTAGCTTTATGGCTTTTGACTATTTCTGTGCTAGTATTTGTCAGACAGAAATGCTCCATGTGGGAGGTGGGGTGTGTGAACTCTGCTGGAGCTGTTTTCTTCTGTGTCATGTGGAATTCCTTGTGCCTGTTTTACTTATCATAGACTCTTCAGAATGTTATCTGGAAGTGGCACTTAAACATGTCTGTCGTGGTGTTTGGTGTCTACTGTCTGCTACTGGCCTGGCTGTCCTCGGGCTGTGAGTGGGGAGGAGCAGGAGGAGCAGGAAAGGGGTGCAGCCTGGGCCTTGCCTGTTGGGTAAGGGTCCCAGGGCAGGAGCCCAAGTGGGGCTGGCTTCCCAGTCCTGAGCTGTACTGTGCCGTAACAGCAAGGGGAGCCATCAGGAGGAGCAGTCCACGGGGAAGGTCCTGATGTGGGAGGAGGGCTCCACCACCCTGCGGAGTGCTCAGATGCCCATCGCCAGCATCCACTGGGAACCAACAAAATGCATACCCCTGACACGGGTTCTTAAGGGTCTTGTACCTAACTACCTTCCTTGTTTGGTTTTTTTTTAGTTTTTTGAGACAGGCTCTCATTGTAGCTTAGGCTGGCCTTGCACTAACTGTGTAGCTCAGGCTGCCCTTGAAACCATGGTGGTCCTCCTGCCTTAGCCTCCAAGTGCTGGGGTTACAGGCATGCGCCACCGTGCCCTGCCTTAACCACCTTCCTCTGTTCAAGCACAGAAGTCGAAATCCTTGTCCTAGCCAGGTGTAGTGGCCTAGACCTGTAATCCAGGCACTCGGGAGGCTGAGGCAGAAGGATCTCGGCGAGTTCGAGGCCAGTGTATGGGGTTCATAGTGAGACCCTGTCCAAAAAAACCCCTAAAAATAAAAATAAATGCCTTTTTTTGTCCCAGAGGCTGACAGACATATTCAGACGCTACGACACAGATCAGGACGGCTGGATCCAGGTGTCTTACGAGCAGTATCTCTCCATGGTCTTCAGCATCGTATAATGAAGGGCTCACAAGCAGCAGCACCACGTAGACGAAGACGGAAAATGCCAAATCCCTTACCTGTCGTGAAGTGGGACATGGACAGTTAGAAGCTGTTCTTCTCAGCCTGTGTATTGATGCGTGGGGACCAGCTGTACATACGTGAATAAGCTGACGAGTCTTACTTTGTCACAGTGGCTGCATTGCTGTGGTGACAGACGTAGGGCTGCGCTCATTGTGCTCATCGTGCTGTGCAGTCATGGCTCAGGTTTCTGCTAGGGAAAATGCGCCCATGCTTTTCTAGACATCTTCAGTTCTGCAATAGATACGGTTTTATTTGCCAATAGGATTTTAAAATAATACAGAACTTGCACAGAGGCTTTTCATGTGCCTTACTTTTTAAAAAAATTATTGTATTCCCTGGAATATACAACAGGAGCAATAAAGTGATGGTACAGACTCATGCCTGCCTTCAGCTTCTCACAGTAGCCCTGCACTCACCAGCTCAGATGCACATGCCCCGGAGGTGTGGGCAAAGCAGGCAGAGGGAGGAGGTGAGGGCCACTCGTGGGAGCCCCACACCAAGACACAGGTGGAGGAAGTGGGCTTGTTTAGGTTCTGGGAGAGGGGCATGAGGGCAGTTGGGTTCTGGTGGGTGCCAGTGGGAAGAAAGCAGTTTCTGCGGAGCCTGTTGGAGTCTGCTGGCCGGGGCCGCTTCTCTGGTGTTTGTGGTTGGCAGAGTCCTGTGGGTGGGTGCTGAGGTGCCAGAGATATGTCACGGTGTCACTAACCAAGGGGCCTGTGGGGAGTCCCCGGGGCTCTGAGGATTTCCACCCATGTCTGCTGGGTCCCTTCTGGATGCTGAGCATGACCCAGACCAGCAGATGACTCTGGCTCACGGATGCCTCCGCTGGGGGAGGGCTAAGGTCTTCAGCACATCCACTCCCTCCCTGGCTCTCGCCCAGCCGGCCCTAGGCTGCCAAGGAGCCTGTGGAAGACACGCTCTTCCTCCTCCAGCTTCAGGCCTGGTGCTGTCTCCTCTCCCTGCCATCACCGGTGCTTGTGTGTACCTGAACCATGCACCTGTGTGTACCTATACCACGCACCCAAGTGCATGTACAGCCATCCAAGAATGGAGTACCACTGTCATAGCTCTGTGCCACCACTTGGATCTGTCTGTACCACACTCCTAAGGGTACCCGTGCACACACGTGAGGATGGAGCACCTTTATCTGTATTACACACCTGAGGGTGGCCCGGGGATTTAGCTCTGCTACTGGCCCCTGCCTGGCAAGTGTAAGGTCCTGAGTTTGATCCCTGGTACCAGGGGGTAAAAAATGCATGGTACACATCTGAGGGTACGTGTGTCACACGCCTGGGGTGAAGTACCTCTATCACATACCTATACCGCACACCTGCGGGTGCCTGTGCACACACCTTACCATACGGGACCCATCAGGGTCCAATGCCTGGTCTTGGACTTGGGACCTGAGCTCAGCTACTTTCAGGAGTCCGGCTTCTGACTTGGGGAGGTTCTGTGGAGTGGCCAAGGGCTGCATCTGTGGGGTGGGAATGTGACCACTGTCGAGGGCCTGTGCAGGCAGGTCACTTGCCAGGAGTGCAGAGTCCATGGTGAGGAGGTGCCCACCTGAAGGAACCAGGGCCCACCCAGCTGCCCAGCATGGCACAGGAGGTCACTGGTGCCTTTCGTGGTGGCCCTTGGCCAGAGCTGCGGCCACATGGGGGCAGTGTGGACACACCAGCTGCTCCAGGAGCCAGGAGGAGGCTGAGGGCTGCTGAAGGTTCAGGGATGCTTATGTCCTTTGTGGCTCTTGCTTCATCATTAGGATGGATGGAATGGAGGGCTGACAGTAGTGTGGACACACAGTCATGGAGGAGGTGGCTTCAGGAGGGCAAGGCCAGGCCAGGCTACCTGGGACCCTCTGGCAGTCCCTCTCCCACCCTCCTGCCTTGTGTCTGGTGTTCCTGGGGGTTGGCACCTCATCTTAGGCAGAAATGGAGAGGCTCCTTGAGACTGGGTTCTTAGCCAAATGCCACTTCAGAGGGTCCTACACAAGGGAACACGGAACTGACAAGCCTGTCTGCTTGGCCGCCACCCTGGTGAGAACTGTCGCAGGTGCAGGGAGGGGAGGGCTTGGAGCACAGTCACCCCTTGGGAGAGGGTGGTGGGCAGGTAGAGGACCCACTTCCCCTGCTGTGGGCACACTCCCCAGGATGTGGGAGCCTTCCCACCTTCCTGCCTCCTCCACCCTGGGCTGAGGAGCCTCCCTCTGCCCTGGAGGGTGAGGAGCAGGAGAAGCCTCCTCCCATACCCAGGCTCCTGGGCCTCTCCTCAGCATTCAGTGCAGCTGTGCCTGTGTGGTTATTTGATCCATATCTGATACCACACCAGAGGCCCCAGAACGCTGCCTGTGGAGCCTCTAAAGTCAGGAATACACACCTGGTAGATAAACTGGTAAAGGTGAAGGTTCCAACCAATGTGTGTGTCTGATAAAGTGTACATAAAATTGCTCACATTTCCCATTTTAAGTGCACAACCCACTGGCATTAACGACAGTGTTGTGCAGCTGCCACCACCACTCATCTCCTGAACTTTCTCAGCTTCCACAATGGAGACTGTCTGCATTAAATATCAAATCCCATCCCCTGCCAGTCTCTGGAAACTGCCCTCTGCTTTCCATCTCTGTGAATCTCACTGCAGTAGGAACCTCACGTAAGTGGAGTCATACGGCATTTGTCTTCCTGTTTCTGGTTAATTTCACTGATGTAATGTCTATGTTGCTCCCATATTGTTCCATATGTCAGAGTTTCCTTCCTTTTTAAAGCTGAATAATATTCCATTGTATAGATGGGCCACAGCTTATTTATCCATTCTTCCATTGATGCAAACTTGGGTCCTTTCCACCTCTGTCTCTTGTGAATATGCTATGTATGCAGATGCACAAATAGCTCTACAAGACCCTGCTTTCAAGCCTTTGGTTATATGCCTAGAAGTGGAGCAGCTGGATCATACGGTAAATTCTGTTTCTAACTTTTGAAGAAACTGGGGAACTGTTTTCCACAGTGTTGTACATCTTACCTTCCCACCAGCAGTATCCAAGGGTTCCAGTGTCCACATCCCTGCGAACATTAGGTTTTCCTTTCTCTTCTCCTTCCCTCTCAGTAATCACTCTGCTGCGATGGCATCATTGTAATTTTTTTTTTGCTTGCATATCCCTAATAATTGGTGACTTTGAGCATTTATTCCATGTGTTTATTGACCGTTTATTTTATGTATCTTTGGAAAGATGTCTGTTCAAGCTCTTTACCCTTTGTTTTTGGTACTGGGGATCAAACTTGGAACCTTGCACTTGCGAGGCAGGTAGTGGAACCACTGAGCCAAGTCCCAGGCCCCTCTTCACCCATTTTAAATTGGATTGACAGTCTTTTTGATTTTGAGTTGCAGGATCTCTATGTTTTGTGGATATTAATCCCTTGTCAGACATATTTGCAATATGATTTCCCCCATTCCTGCCCCACACTCTGTACTGGGGATTGAACCCAAGGACACTCTTTACACTGAGCTAATCCCCGCCCCCCTTTTTTGAGACAGGACCTCACTGTCACCAAGGTGTCCAGGCTGGGCTTGAATTTGCAATTCTCCTGCCTCAGCCTCCCAGAGGACTGGGATCACAGGTGTGTGCCACCACACCCAACTTAAGAGTTGCTGTGGACTGTGTCTTTTGATGCACCAAAGCTCCAGATTTTTACATAGTCAGTTTTGTGTATTTTTTCTTATTGTCTGCTTTTAATGTTACATCTAAGAATTGCCAAATCTAATGTCACGTTTCCCTGTTTTCGTTCTAAGAATTTTATAGTTTTAGCCCTTGTATTTATGTCTTTGATCCAGTTTTAATTTTTGTATATGGTAAGAGACGAGGGTCCACTCTTACTCTTTCCCATATGGATATCCAGCTGTCCCTGCACCACTTGAACAGATTGTTCTTTCACATTGACTGACCTTGTCAGCTTCGTTGAGAAGTTGGGCGCCAACACTGAGTGAGTATTTCTGGTTCTCTATCCTGCTCCACTCATGTCTATTTGCCTGCTTTATTGCCAAGCAGACAGGTGAGACATGAGGTCTGCGTCAAGTGGCAGCTAGGCTGGACTTGGACACGGGCTTCTTGGACACAAGAACGGCACCCCGAGCTGTCCTCTCTCCCACCAGGTTTTGCCCCAGATCAACCAGCCTGGACCTCACCTGCTCTAAGTTCAAACTACCTGCCAACAAAATACAGTGGAGGAGATTGTTTTGGTCCCAGGGATCAAACTCGGGACCTTGCACTTGCGAGGCAGGTGGTGGGACCACTGAGCTGAGTCCCCTGAGGAGATTTTAAAATGGCAGTTTTCTCCTGAAATCACCTTCAAACAGCACAGAGAAACACAAATTCAACCTCTGAGCAAGCTGGCCCTAACCCAGAAGGCAAAGCAAGAGGTCCTGGGGAGCCTGGTAGCCTCAGGAGGGGTGGGGAAGAGGGAAACTTTCCTGTCCTGCGAGGCCAGTTCCTGCCTGGCCTAGGAGGGGGCCAGAGGAAGCCTCCCTGGAAAGCAGCCATCCCAGAAGCCCCACAGATGCCACCTGAGAGCAGAGGGCAGCCCACCCGCCAACAAGCCACGTAGCGACCAGCGCCTCGTAGAAGAGGCAGTTCAGAGCCAGGAGGACATCTTAAAACCCCTCTGATCTATGATTGGCGTCTCAGCGAGACAAAGATGCTGCATTCATTAACAGAGAACAGAATGAGAAGTTGAGATGAAACGGTGGCTGGAAAGGAAAAAGGTTACAAAAAATTATAAGGAAGACATTTTCAAAACAAGGGAAAGACTTTCCGGAACGCAGGGCAGCTGGGAAGGCACACAGAGCACCTAGGGCAGTGCACAGATGACGGACGCACTGAGTCACACTAGCCCACGAGATCAAGCAAACGGAGCAGAAATCCTTGCAGTCACAACACACATGCTGAAGAAGGGAGCATTTCACAATCTCAAGATACAGGCCAGCATGAAAACACCATTTCTTTCTGCCTTCTATTAAAATTGACATTTTGGTTCTTGTCCAAAAAAACCCTCTAAAAACAAAAAACAGCCCAAGGTCAGAGGATATCCCCGCACCTCTGAGAGCAGTGGACATCACAGCAGACCAGGACCAGGACCACAGTTGTTGCCGATATCCATGGGGAAGCCAACCTCAGGAAAGCACTTCCACCCAGGTCCAGCCACTGGACTTCTCAGAGATTTTCCTGCTGTTCCTTTACTTAGGAAGTCTCTCGAGGGTGTGCCCCCTCAGCCAGAAAGGAAGACCCTTCAGGAAACAAAACAGTGGGAGACACAATCTGACTCTGGAGCCTGGACCCTGAGTCACTGAGAGGTGCTGAATGAGCTGTGAGAGGTTGTGGGGAGACCTAGCAAATGAGTCATCACTCAGTCGGGGGTGCACAGGAAAGGAAATAAGTCAGTAACACCCCTACACACACTTCCTTCACCCTCCTCCACCTCTGGCTTCCCTGCCTCCTATACCTGACTTGCTGCTCTGGGTTTGGGCTGAAGGAGATACAGGTGTTCCAAGTTCTGCAGGGCAGGCAGGGGCCTGGGCTAGAAGGGACTTTGATGCTGTAGGGAGTGAAGATGCCCTGGTATTCTCAGAGGGGCAGCTGGAGGCTCAGATTGGGTTGGGGTGGGGTCATGCATGCTGGAATTGGGATGATGTCTGACAATTCTGCAGTGCTCCATGTCCACGACCCTGCCTCCAGCAAAAGGCTCCCCTCTGGTACTGTGGATGGGTGAGATGTGGGCCTGCTTGGGCTGGGTCAGCCCTTCACACCAGGGTTGTGTGGGGCACCAGACCCCTGGGGCCACAGCCCACAAGGGAGGGGTCCTTAGGGGAGGCACCACAGTGGGGTCCCCAGGAGCAACTGCTTGGCTGGGTCCCACCTGGGTTGGGGTCTACAGGAGCCTTGGTGCTCTCAGCTGGAGCTTTGGGCTCTGCCCTCCCCCATAGGCACCTCAGCTTCTCTCTCCCTTTTGATCCCTCCGTTTCTCGGGTAAGGAGATTGATGAGGCCTGTTTCTCATTCTTGACAGGGTGGTACTGAGATGCCTCTGAGGTAGGAGGGAGAAACAAACAAGGCCAAGGAGGAGCCCTTCCTGGCTTCTGCATGGTCCCTGCTGTCAAGGTCTTGGGTTCAGGAGGCCCCTGAGCTGCATTTTAGTGACTCTATCCCTGGCCAGGGAAGCCACTGGTCCACTTCCTGGCTCCTCCTTCTCAGAGTGGGTTTAATGCCACTGTAGCCCTGCCAGCTGCACTAGGACTTCCCTAGAGAGAAGCTACCAGGTGGCGCCAGCTCCCTCCTGAGTTCTCTGCAGCTCCTAGGGGCGTCTGGCTGCAGGGCTCTGTAGCTGTGCTTGCCTCCTGGCCTGACTGCACTTCGCCTGGCAGTCCTTGAGCCTCCCCCAGCACCGCGTGGTCTGTAGCTGCCCTGTGGCTGGCAGGGAGGAGGTTTCTGCTGCTGGGACTGGGCAAGTGGGACAGCATCTCCGCTGCCAATTGCTGGGAGCTTCCCAGAAGCCTGGACAAAACGCCCAGCACCTTCTCTGTCCTCTGGAGGGAGACAGATCGTGGCAGAGAACACCACAGCCCAGAGTGGATGCTATGCACAAGGGCTGGTCCTTCCAGATTGCTGGGGTGGTTCCGGAGCGTCTGCAAATTCTCCGCGGATGCACACCCGGGGCATGAGCGCCCTGCAGACCCCTAAGACCACCTCCACCACGTCCCGCCCCTGGTTTGCTACTCTTTCCAGCAGACCACAGGAATACCCATGCTCCATGTAAAACTGTACAGGAGCCATCAGCGTTTTGAAAAGTGAAAAAGAAATTAAACTCTACCAGTAACCTCAGAAATATCCAACCAATTTTTTTTCTCTGCATGGTTTGCCTCACAAAGATTGGATCAAGATGCAACTAAAGATTTCAAAAATACAGCACCACAGCTGCACGTTGTTTCCTGTCAAACACTGACATGAACCCGTTTGGTCTGCCGGCCTTCCTCAGGCACACGCACTGGAAAGAGGAAGGGACAGAGCAGCCCCTGGCTTCACCTGTAGGACCAACAAGTATCGAAGAGAGCGCTGGGAAGGTCCCCGAAACAGGGTGGCCTCTGAGAACAGAACAGCACCTGTGAGCACTGAGGAGGTGCGCACTTGTGTTTCTCCAAAGAGCGG